AGCTATTACCACCCATTAAAGTATATCTGTTGCTTTGCACATGTACAGACATTTTGGATAGAAGGTCAATGTCATCTTTTTATTATATTAAGCACTTTCTTAAATATATGTAGGCCTTTGTGTTTCAAAGCCCTTATTTTTAGTTTCCAAAATCATGATTAAGTTTATGAATATTTCCATTTCTTAAAAAATATCTTCTGCTTTTTTAAAAATCAGGTTTATTGAAGTATAATTTACATAGAGTAGTATTTCCCTTTTTCAGTGTATAGTTCTAGCAGTTCTATTAATCACACACAGCCATGTAGCCATCACCATTATTAAGATATGGAACAGTTTCAACACCCCCCAAAATTCCCCTATTCATGGTAATCAACTCATCCCCACCCCCAACTTCTGGCAACCTTTGACCTGTTTTCTGTCTCTATTTTTTGCCTTTTTCAGGGTGTCATGAAAATGAAATCATAGAGTACGGTGTGTGTTTTTTCACTTAGCAATGTGCATTTGAGATTCGTCCACACTGCTGCAGATATGAGTAGTTTGTTTCTTTTTATTGCCTAGCACTATTATTCCATTGTATTGATTGATGTACTTCCATTCGATTATTCATTCACAGTTGAAAGCTATTTGAGTTGTTTCCAGTGTGTGGCAATTATAAATAAAGCTGCTATAAGTGTTTACATCTCATTTTTTATGAGCATCCATTTGTATTTCTCTTGGATAAGTAGCTAGAAGTAGGTTAAGTGAACCCTATAATAAGCGTAGGTTTAACTTTGTAGAAAACTAAGTTATCTTGTTTTCTCAAGTGGCTGGGCCATTTTCCATTCCAACCAGCAATATATGAGGATTTCAGCTGTTCAACATTTTTACTCTCACTAGGTATTGTCAGTATTTTTTAAAATTAAAATCTAGACATTCTAATAAGTGTGTAGATATACCTAATTATGCTTTTAATTTTTCCCTAGTGACTATGTTGAGTGCTTTTTCATATTTGCCACCCATATATCTTCCTTAATGACATACCTATTCACACACTTTATACAATTTTTAGTGGGGTTGTTTTCTTATTATTGACTTTTGAGAGTTCTTTATATGTTCTGGATATGAGGCCTTTATCAGATATGTGTTTTGCAGATATTTTCTCTTAGTCAGCTTGTCTTTTCATTTTCTTACCAGTGTTTTTTCTGAGTTAGTCTCTCCGCCACCTTTTTTAAAACTACAGTTTGAGCCTGTCTTCCTTCTGTTTCTAAGCCCTTAAGTTAACAAGTTTGCACCAATTCCTAATGAACAAATTACAATATAACTTTTAGAATTTGATGGGACTGGAAGATAATCGATTTTAAAGATAGCGTGGTTCTATATAACATTTACTTGAATATTATAACAATTAGGAATTCTCTTGGCTGAAAGTAGCAAAAAATTCAACTTTAGTGGCTTAAACAAATAGGACTGTTTTTCCTTATTACAAGTTGAGAGAAAGGCAGCTGCTTGCCAGGATTCACTACATCCACACTTAGGACAAAAAGGAGGGAAGGAGAAAGAACAGAACTTGTACCAAGAGAGCAACACTTTTCAAGAAGCTTCTCAGCCACTTTCAATTGAATTCTCACTGGACAGGCCTGGGTCATAGGGTCAGGCAGTGCTCAGCAGAGCAGGTTGGGTTAGGAGGGTCTACGAGCTTCTGCCTTGCACAGCAATTTTAAAGTAACATCAACATAGGAAAGGTAATAAAACTGTAAGAGCAGAAAACATAACAATCAAAATCTAGTTTTAAACTCAAGGGTTTCCTTCCACACTTTGCTGGCCAAACAGCTAAATTCTAAAGGCATCATTCCAGTTGCATCTTAGGCATGAATATAAAAGTAATAATAGAAATATAGTAGCTATTGTAATAAGAGTGATGGGTTATCACTTCTGAGGCCACATACTTTATCTTCTTTGACTGCTTCTTGAAGGTAGGTTTTTACATAGCAGAAAAGTAAGATGCATAGATAGTAGGTCCCTTAGAGTCACCTAGAAAAGGAATCCAGGACAACAAGCTCATGATACAGATTTGTCATGCCTTACCTCCCTTTTTGAAACAATCGGAGTTTTCAAAATCAAGAATGATTTAATGTAAAGTTTATATTGTAACAGTCTACATAACCTGCATATACATGTATAAATGAAATCTCAAAATCAAAAAATCCTCTTGCACTAGACTTTTAACTGTTTGTCTTAAATTATATCAAAGTGGGAATTCTGTTGTAAACTTGGTAAATAAGTTGAAGTTAAAGCAAAGCTTTTAGTTTATTAGCGTTTGTTAATCTGTCAGTGACAAAGTTTCCATCCAGCAAAAGGAGTCTATTTGCTTTTGAATATAAAGAAAATAAAATTTAAATAATTCATTTTTGAGAATTTACAATACCCCTTCTATAACGAACATTAATGTTAATTCAAAGTTTTAGAAGTATTCTTTCATATTTTGGCCCAAGTGCCTAACATCCTGACTAGAATGTTAGCAAAACGAATGAGTAAGTGAACCTTCTGAACCAACTCACTACAATTCCATTGCCTTCACGGAGTTAATCTATATTTGTAACTTTTCAATAGCTTGAAATATGTTCTAAACATGGAAAATGCTATTGAATCTGTGATCATTATTCAAGGTTAGGAAATTACACCAAAATGTAATAGAACTCTACAAGAGTTTCTATCAGTTGTTTGACTTTCACTAAGAATTAAACCCACCTTGACCAGTGGAATGTGCTTAGAAATGCTGTCACTGAAGATTGCCAGAAGTTTGGGAACCCATTGTCCCTTGTTGGAAGCTCATGTAATCATTTTTAGTTTTCTCTTTAAGAAATCTTTCAGAGTATCTGGTAAGATACTTCAGTTTCCCATAACAGTTTTCTTCAATTGTTTACAAATACCTTTACAATTATCCTTGAAAAATAAGATAGGCAAAGATACATTTAATCCCTTAGGAAATGAAAGGTTAGGAAACTTTTATAAGGTGAGACAACTAATAGAAATAGAATTAATATCTCCAGGTTTTGGCTTGACTCTAAAACCAGACGTCCTCTTCAGCCCATCTTTGAAAATCAACTAATCAGAATCTACTTTTTCATTGAAAAAAAAAAAGACTGGCAGTAATATTGGAACTATTTCACTTAGTATATTATAATCATAAAGGAGAATTAAAATGCCACTTCAGCCCGGCCGGGCGTGGCTCAGGGGTTGAGCGTTGACCTAGGATCCAGGCGATCGGGGTTCGATTCCCGGTCAGGGCACATGCCTGGGTTGCGGGCTTGATCAATGACTCTCATCATTGATGTTTCTGTCTCTCTCTCCTGTTCTCTCTCCGAAATCAATAAAGATATATTTAAAAAATAATGATAAAATAAAATGCCACTTCACTTTCATTTGGAGTGATGCATTTGTAGTTCTCAGAATTGTTGTATTGTGCATTTATAGCCACCATTTCTATAATGGTAGCTACCATGTAAAACCTAGACACCTTTATTCAAAATATAAATAAATACTTGTGGCATCTGCAAGGTTTCGTTTTTACACATGCTCTCAAAAAAGTAGTGTTCTGATGCTTTCTTAATAGAAGAAAACTTGATGTGGTTGAAAGAGGACAGATTTTGGAGTCAGGTATGAATCTCTGTACTAAATCTGCCACTAACTAGCCGTGTGATCATAGAAGGCGTGTTACTATCTCCATGGCTGTTTCCTTGTGTGTACAGTGCCTGAGTCATAAGTTGCGAGAATTGAATGAGCTCATAGATATAAAATGCTTAGCAATATACTTGGCTTAGAGTAAGCCTTCATTAAATGCACACCAGAATCATGATAATTTACTCTAAAAATTATTTATGGAACATTTCCAAGACCCTTTACTGAGTGCTATGCAAGTGTGTTTTTCTGGCTTACTAATTATCGCAAATAAGAAGGGAAGATATAGCCTGATTCCTTAGCTCAGGGTTTCTCAGTCTCAACAATATTAACATTTTGGCTGATAATTCTTTGTTGAGGGTGGCTACCCTGAGCATTGTAGGATTATTAGCAGCGTCTGGGCCTCTGCGTGCTAGATGCCGGTAGCACTATCTTTTTCCCTGCTTGTGACAACACAGAATGTTCCCAGACATTGCCATATGTCTCTGGTGGGGGGGAGGGGGATTTTGCTCCCAGTTGAGAACTACAGTTTTCTATCAATTCTTCGTAAAAAGTGTCGATGAACTTATAGTCCTAGGAGATTACTTCCCCCAAAATCTGGGTCAAATAATGTAGGAAACATTAAATAATTAATAATAATAATAATTCTAATTATATTAATGTAAGGCTCAAACTTAGGCCCATTGGTCAGCGTAAACTTTGTGCTTTCTACAACATCATTCCGGGGTCCAGATTTTACCCCCATTCTTACTCTTTCGTCTAAATGTTAACATGAGCCCATAGTTGATATGTTACTGTGTTACTAGTTTTAAGAATCTCTTATTTTACTTGTTTTTGTTCCTGAATATATTTTATCTATGAATTACAAGTGTGTCATGAACAATTACATACCCGAAAACATGCAAAGAAAATATAGTTACCCTGTTTTTGTGGACTATTAATTTAGAAAACTATTTTTAAAGCGTTTCCTAGGTTCAAGAGGTAACTACATTTATCATTTTTTGTCATATATTTGACAGAGAGCTATATATAATGGTAAAAATTTTTACCAACAAAGTCGTTTTTATAATATACATAAGAAAAACAAATGAGTTTCTACAATTGATAAACATGGTTAGTCAAATTGAAAACTTATAAATAAAAGTGGTTGCCTTCTCTGCCCTAACCTCCCCCTTCAAAAAAAAAAGGATTTTTTAACCCAAGTCATCAGGATAATTGATTCAGACCCATTTCATTTTGCAATGGGGAACTTTTGTATTGTGATGAAAATGTCTTATCTGCAATGAAAGAATTAATATTCTTAATGTTCTTACACACTATTTTTTTTTATGTGAACATTTTAGGTGTATCAATACATGCATGAAACGATAACTGTTAATGGCTGTCCCGAATTCCGTGCCAGGGCCACAGCAAAGGTAAGGCTTGAGTAACTTTAAAAATATACTTAACCCCAGTGATCTAGTAATTGATTGTGCGCGTGTGTGTTTCAGGTATTCTCGTGTGTACACTGTAAGAGAATTTAGACATCAGTGGCAGCCCAGAGTCTAGAACCAGTACTACTTCCCAGGTAAAAATCCTAATGGAAAATTGAACGTTTCTGCTGCTTCTGTAGCTTAAGAAAGGAGAATGATTTCATTAAACTCACTAAATGTCCATTTGGCACAAGCAAATCTACTGATTCATTGTATGAAATACTACTTGGTTTTCTGACACATTCCTCTGATCCAAAAGAACCTGTTCCCTATTTAGTGCATGAAGATTTATTGTCACAAGTCTAAAGATTAGACTCAAGTTAATCATTAAGATAACTCACCTGACGCCCAGTGATGTGGGATTCTTCCATGCATTCAGCTGAGCACTGGGCGGCTGAAAGAATGTGGCGCTGGCTTAAAAGGAAGGCCTGTCACCTTTTGTGGTAGCGAACACATTTGCTCTTTAAAAACTTAAATCCAGATATGGCAGAGACCCTACTAATGGAAATGTTACAGTGATAGGATCAGGAAATTGTCTGGAAAATAGACCATTAGGAAATAATAGTTTTAAACTAAAGTCGCTAATGCAGTTCTTAATTTACAAATACAGAGATATCATAACACGCACACACTTGATTTTTAAAAGCTTTCTTGTTTTTAATAATGTATAAGAAATAAGAACTGGTGAAAATAATCAGAATTTTTCATTTAAACCTTTTTGTGTTACATCACCTCCTGTTTCGTCTCCCTCCTGATTTCTTAGTTTTCGTCTTGTAACTGAACCCTGTAGATTTGTAAGTTTGTGTTTTTTTTTAACCCAAGCAAGAAGAGGGTATTGCTATCATTACATCACGCTTTGCTTGTACTGAAGTGGAACACACAAAGAAAAAATGATCCCTACATGGTTTAATTAAGGGGAAAGTGAATTATGTAGTGTTTTACCATTCTCATTTCTTATTCATGTAGAACAGCAGGATAGCAGCATAATGTTGCAATAGCACAATATTTTCTGGTTGTTTCTGGGCTGTCTGCATTGCATCCATGTCAGCCATTAAAGTCTATGCATGACGACAGGGTTTGCATGAGCAAATAAGTGCATGTAGCTGAACACGAGCCATTATTTCCATGTCATTCACTATCTTTCACTAAATGCAGACAGTAGCATAATGCTGAATTGATGCGATCATGCCGTGTGTGGGAAAGAATGTACAGTAGTTGGTAATCAATATTTTTATAGTGTTGAGTAAATCACTTTATAGTAGGCATCTAATCAGCTGTGCTTAAGAAAGGGTAATGGAGGTGGAAAATAAGAAGCAGGCAGCAAAACTTTTCTTGATAGAAGCTACTTGAATGCTGTTAATTTATTTCCATGAGGGGTGGGAACTAATGGTAAGTTGTTTCCTTCAACTTATTTTTTAAAATTAATATTTGAATTTTAAAATACGTCCATACTAAATGATATTTTGTACGTCTAGGTATAAAACTAGACTGCTTATTGTGCCTGCATCGCTACGGTAGTTGAAACATTAATGTAAAATGTTGGGTGGGGGTGTCCTGTGCCAGAGAAAGTATCTCTCTAAATAATATGGAATATTGATATGAAGTAATAATCTGTTTGAATCTATTATTTTATTATAGCTTTTATTTTCTTTTAGGCATCCTCAAAAAAAACAAAAAGAACTAAATTTGCTAAGCCAGTAGTCTGGCGATAGCAAAATTAGAGATGTATTTACCAGCATATATACATATAAGTGTTTCTTGGTGTATTGAATAAATATTTATGAAGATTTGTGTGCGAGCACCAGGTTAGACTGCGTGTCATACAAAAAGTGTAAGCCACAGACTCTACCCTTCAGGTGCCCATCGTCACCGTACATACATAATAATTCTAGTACGTGTGCCATGTGTAGTTGCATATGGACCAAACCTATTTGTTCAGTGCAAGAACAGGAGGAATTCCATCTACCTGAGGTAACTGGGAAAGAATTTTTTGTAGAAAGGAAACTTTCCTCATAGAGGATAAGGCCTGGAAAGCTGGAAATAGCCGGGCTGAGCTTTGCCCAAGGAAGGGAGTCAGAGCCGACATCTAATGAAGAGCGCCCCCCCGCTGTCGTCCTTCCTTCACAGGACTGTGCTATGAGAGAGGAGGACTTGCACGCTTTCCCCGCCGCAAAGCATATGCTCAGCCTGAATTCCCTTGTTTTATTACCAAACGACCATCTTTTCTTTCAGGCAACAGTTGCAGCTTTTGCTGCTAGTGAAGGCCACTCCCACCCTCGGGTAGTCGAACTGCCAAAGACTGATGAAGGCCTTGGCTTTAACGTGATGGGAGGAAAGGAGCAGAATTCCCCCATTTATATCTCTCGCATCATTCCTGGAGGGGTGGCCGAAAGGCACGGAGGCCTCAAAAGAGGAGACCAGCTGCTGTCAGTGAACGGAGTGGTATGTTCATCAGATCACCAGGGTTTTGTTTTTACCTTAAGCACATTCTCCCCTCCCCACCCCCCGCTGTTACTAAAGTCAGTATTGAAATCCTGGAACCAATCATAATTTTGTGTCCAATGTTTAGAAACATTGGTGGATAGTAAATCAGCAAAAGCAGTAATTTTACAGTTTTTATGTCTCATTTCATCTTGTTCAGATATGACATGTATGAGCTGGTTAGAAAATCATCCCAGATTGTAGAATTTCTCCCTTATATACTTTAAGCGAGTTAATGGTGAGACGAACATAATAATGTCCAGGCACTCTTTATTCAAAGTTACTATAAGCAAGTACATTTTAAAAGTATAGATAAAACTCTTCACCCTATATTTTCTATTTTAATTAAAGAGGAAGAATAATTTTAATATACGTAATAATATCTATGGAAAAGAATAGTGCACAGATAGTCCTTTAAGCCAAGCGTGCAGCTGTAATATAATAAAAATGTCAGCCTCGCCAACAAAAATGTTTGATTACATTATCTAGTATTCAAAATATATATATTTTTAAATTTTCACATGAAGTTAAAGTAAACTGAAATATATGATATTTTAAAGTAAAAGCAGAAACATACTTTTTTTTCATATCCTCGTATTCATTGAATGTCATTACCTCCACATGTAATAGTGAGTTGCTAAAGAAATAGCTTACTCTAAAATGAATAATTTTCTCCCCATAACTTCTGCATACATCAAAAAATAAGTAACCTAAAAGTACACATTTTAGAAGTATAAATAGGAACATTTCGATGATTACCTTTCTATTAATCTAAGATCTTTTTACTAAGAACTTAAGATTTTAATAAACAAACTAGATTTGGGTTTTTGTGTGGACATATGATTTCTGCTTAGACTAAAATAAAATTCATTTAAAAATGTAATATTTTATTGGTAACTATGGAGGAAATTGTTCTGTATTTATATCTTGCATTTTATTTCTTTTTACTTTTAGCCTGACTAGTAGTTTTATAGAGCCCAAAACTCAACTCTGCTGAGCTGATGTTCTTCAAAATCATCAACCCATGAATATTTTATATCATTTCAGCACTTCGATTCTAAAATTACCATTTCATTTACTTTTCTCTATGTAACAGTGCTTCCAGATGAGCTCTTTATTGACCTTTAGATAACTATGACTTTTTCAAAGCATGTTTCAACTGATAATTTCAGAGTCGAACTTTCTAGTAGATTGCTCTAGAGCTTGATCATGTAATTATGCCACAAAGTAATTAATCTGTGACTTAGTGTATGGATTTACAATTTTTCTAAATATATTGGGTAAATCAAAAGAAAGCATACATTTTAAAACATGAAAAGTACAAAAAGGAACCAAAAATATATTAATAGAATAGTAATTATACAAAGCAACAATAAATGTATATGAAATCACTTTAATAGGCAGTTGACTTTTAACTATCTGTCGAGGTGAGCTAAAGAGCCTTTATTTCACCCATACATTTTCAGGGAACACAGCTGTAGGCATTTAATAACTACTCATCCATTCCTTGCAATGGCCATGTTGGGAGTCTTTTAGTGGTGGTGTTGCAAGTATTGGAGTAATAAAATCAGACACATAGTAAGACTCTACCACCCAATGCCCACATGATTATGGATTAATATCCCCTAAACTTGAATCTCCTAATCTGGATAAGAAGAGTAGTAGCTTGAAGGGTGCTGATGGAGATTGAAATAAGGCAAAATGTCTGTTGAAAGTTGGTCCACACATCTTTGATAGGTAAGGGTGGTTATTAAAGCAGGTTGAAGAGAGTTAACAATCCTCCTATGATGGTGCTAATTATGTTTAAAGTAAGTTGTAAAGCAACTTCTGCTACACTTACAAGCATATTTTACCAAACATTTATTAGCAAAAACTCATTAATAGATTCATGCAACCTTTTCCATAAGTTTGGTGAAATCATAGTTCTCTGTCTATTCAGATGTTCCAATCATTGCCTTAGAAAGAAGGTTTACTTGAGGCAGATAAAACAACATTTCAAGAGCAGGATTTTGGTGCTTCTATATTCAGCATCAGACAACCAGAAATTCTGTTAAACTGACTTGGAAATAGGAAGGTTCAGTGATCAAACTTATGCCACTAACCCTATGGTACGGACCACGGGCCTCTTTATGATTTTTGTACCCTGGTCATGTAAAGGTGGGGAATGTCTCCAAAAGTCTTTAATGTTCCACATACATTAAGGAGAATATTAATTAAGTTTCATTTAGCATGCTTATTAATGAGTCACTGATTTCACCAATGAGAATCCACTTCTGTCATATTTTTGCTAATAAGCAAAGCATTATTTGTTCATTGAAATAAGTATAACAAATGCTTTTATAGTGGTCAACCTCTAAAGTGTTGCCTTTCTGATATAATGCTTGCTGACAACTTTGGATTTATTTAAAAAGCTCCTAAATTTGATGTTTAAAATATTGCACATCCATACAATCAAACAATAAATTATAAATGACTTATTTTAAAATATTTAAAAATAAGTTATGTGCATTTTAGCAGTGTCTAATATTTATCAGATGTTCATCAAGAGGTAGTTTTCCTTCTGTAAATGGGACACTGCATGACCCAGTGGGTTTCCCGTGGTCACACAAAGAGTGGTTAATCCAAGGCAAAAACCCTGAGCTTCTAACACCCAATCCAGAAGTCTTTTTAGTATAGTTAAGTCCAGTCAGACAGAAGTATTTAATGAAAAATATCACTCTGTAATGAAAGGACCAAAAAAAGAAAATATTAGCAAGTGATCAAATTATTACTATGTATACTTAAAGTACTATTTTGGGAAATTAATATGGAAGATTTTCAGAACATGCTATCCTAAACTAAGAACAAATTTTGGAAGCACATGATTTGTAGGGTTGACACAAACCTTAAGTACTTTAGTACTTTAGGGAAGAATTCCTAAGGCCCTACTGGGAAAGTAAATAAATTATTCCATGGACCTTTAAGCACCTGAAAAGATACAGCAGCTTAGAAGTCAAAAAGAAGGAAACTCATACCAGCTCAGCTATCTTTGGGAGAACATTTTTTCTTTTCTCTTCTTGAGCTCCAAGAAAATTTCCTATGGGAGTTTTACTAATGAGACATTGAATCACCTAATGCAATTGTATAGAAAATACAGAGGCCTTTTGTGTGTGGCCGCTTCTCAAGCCAACCCTCAGTAAAAACTTAGAGCTGGATTCTCAGTAAAAATTTAACATTAACAGGAAGTCAAAATGCTACAGGTAGAATTTATAGCTATGGATAGAATTTATAGCTAATGATCTTTAATGCCCAAAGTGTTTCATCAACAATTTTGAGAAAAGACTGAAGGACTCTTTATAAAGGCAACAGCCGAGGTAGATCCAGCAGGGGCAGTAAATACATTTAGTGCTAGAGCCCAGATATGTAAAATCTCAACAGGATTGCACAATAGGCTCAATTTAATAAGAAGCAACATGAAGTCCTGCTCCTACACCCAGAAAACTAGCTACCTATGTGCAGAATTTGAGAGGAATGCCTAAACATCAAAACCAGGAAAAAAGCCTGGAGGATTTCTGTTGATTTCAAGAGGAATATGAGGCAAGTTGGGAAAAATGAAAACAAAAATATGTTAATGTGATGGTAGCTTCCATGAGTACGAATATGTGCACAGATATGGAAGGAGACCGATTAGTCCAGCTCTTGAACGTGCCCTTCAGCTCACAGCCCATTGTGGTGCCCGATCCTGGCTCTGCCTTATAAAGAACACTGAGCTAGTTCAGAGATGGGCAGTCTTGCACACAATGAACATGTTAAAGAAGGACTTGAGCTGTTTGGGACAGAGAAGAAAACGTGAGGGGAATGATGGCTGTCTTCAACCTTCCTCCATTGTGTGAGGCACCAGATGGCAGAGCCAAGACTGGTGGGTAAAAGTCACAAGGAAGGCAGATTTCAGTTTATTGTAGCAAAGAGCTTTTAAACACTTAGAGCTCTATAAATAGGGAAAGACTGAATCGTGAAATAGTATGTGTCCATGGTTTGAGGTTTTAATCAGATTAGAAGATGGCCTGCAAGGATATTTCAAAATCTATACTGTGTAGAGCTGGAACAATTGGCCCAAGGTCCTTCTAACTCTGTCACTCTGGATCTTCAAATGAGATTTTGATGAGACTGCCATAGACTCCCACACACACACACACACACACACACACGCCTCCTTATACAGGTAAGTAGGATCCACCTGGTCTCTGTGCACACTGCTGAGACTTTTTCCTGAACAGAAAGAGTATATATATACCACAATATAATACCTATAATACTTTTTATTTATTTAGTATTTTATAGTTTATGGAAAGTGTTCACATGAGATTCTCCCATTTGTTCTCAGAATTATCTCACGTAGCTGGTAGGGCCACGGTCGTCTGTTCCTTCTCTCTCTCTCTCTCTCTCTCACACGCACATGCGCGCGCACACACACACACACAAATGGATACACATAATGTGCACACAGACCCACACACAACTATATACACGAAGTAAATTTCAACCTTTACATTATCACAACTGATGCTTACCAAATGTAATAATTTATTATTTAAAAAGTTAATCCCACTGAAATCTATAAACTCTGTGGATTGTGCCAAGGTCAATTTTCTGGTTTTAATATTAAACAATAGTTTTACAAAATGTTCTTGGGAGAAGCTGTGTAAAGGGTGCTTGGTACTCTCTATATATTTATTTCCAACTTACTGTATGTCTATAATTATTTCCTGATGTTTTTTTAAAGGGAAAAAGCCTAAAAGAATCAACCTGAAAGACGAAATCCTACTGGTACTAATGGGAGAGAGGGCAGTTGGGAAGCTAGAAGCAGAGGACAGAAAGATAAAACAAAATCACAAGAACTTTAAAAATATGTCACTGAGAAAAGAGGCCTTCATTAGCATCTGAAATCCAAGCATAGTTTTAGAGCATTGTTGGTGGGAAGA